AAAAGTTACCCTGAAAATGTCATTTTAAATTAAAACAAAAACCAAGGTGTTAGCATGGGTGTTGATGAGGAAAATACAGTTGGATGCAGTTAGGAAAAAACAAAAGTACATCAGAGGAAATGTTGGCCCTTGATGTGGTTTGGATTAAATTTACTTCCAAATGGATAAGAGTTTAATGAGTTTGGTTGTCTCGGCGTGATCCCCTGGGGCACTTGCGCACATCACAGAACCTCCATAATTTTAGCTCAAGTATTAGCTTTAAAACATCTTGCACCAGAAAGCAAAGTGCTTCACATCAAGAATTTGAGCAGCATTCTTGCTTTCTGTTTGTTGGCTCCAGAGCTTGGCTTGGGAAATTGTACTCACACTTATTAGAATGCCTTCGTAAAACAAAAGGATTAGCTAATCATCTAGCAAGTGTCCTGTTATTACTGCCTTTTGCCAGAACTAAACAAATCCTGGTCTCAAGCCAACAAAAGAGCTCCTCAGTGCTGTACGTTTCTTTTAGCCCAAGCACTAGTTTTGTTTCAAGAGGAAGGCTTCCAGTGTTGGGGGGTAAGTAGCTTTTATTTTTCCTGTGGTGACGATGAAGTTGAAATCTTACAATTCTATTCACTGAGAAGTCCAGTTTCCCCGGTTTATAGTAATTTGCCTTTTAATTATTGGGGTTGTTCTTTCCAATATTCTCTGTAACCAGTTGAGCATTAAAATCTTGATAACATTCAGGGTCACATAATCCGTTAACAAACTGTTGCAGATTTTTAAAATGTAACCATAAGCCTGTGTAAAATTTAACTTACTTGCACTTGCAGAGTGTACATGATGTATACATAAATCACTCCCTCAATACATTTGTATCATTGACATAATCTATTAAGCATTTGTCTCCAGCCTAAATTTCTCTGGGCTGCAGACCTGCCTTTGTCTCCATTTGAATGTGGGTCAGAATTAACACGTCTGAAACCACACTTATGACCTGCTGTCAGTCCTGGATTTCCTTAGGCCAGCCCTCCTCACTGGGAACACCAGAAACCTGAGAATCATCCTCAACCCTGGCTTTTCCTCCTCTGTATCAGGTCACAGCTGATGGGACTAGGTGTTGAGTTTCCTATCAACCGTCTAGTTCATCGTCTCTTGTTTCCTGATTGGGCCTCCCTCATCTTCTCTACTTCCGCCAACTTGGTTCTCCTCGTGGCTGCCAAAGTAATCTTTTAAACACACAGATCCTGTTATACCTCACCTCTTGATGGTCTCTTATGCTTATGATAAAAATCAAAATGCTGAACGTGTTCTACAAGGCCCTGCAGGGATTGACCTCTGCCTTCCTTTGACCCTCATGTCACCGTCTCTGTGTGCTCTGATCACACTGGCCAGCATGCATTCCTTGATCATGCCCAGCTGGACACCCAGACACCTGGTTAATGCCTTCTCATCCTTCAGATCTCACCTCAAACCCACTTGCACAGGGAAACCTCTGACCTCCAGACCCAGTGAGTTTCCCTTGCATCGTGTCCTCCTAATGTCCCATGCGTCAGCATCCTTTTTTGACTTTTTTCATTAACTGTCTCTCCCTCTGAAGACCAGGTCTCACTTTTCTTTGGCCTAACGATTGACTTCTCTTCATCACGAACAGCCTCCTTTTCTAAATTGTGCTAAAGTACTTAACCCAAGGGTTCTGTGCTGCTTTTAAGGTATTATTATTAAGATGAGGCCGGAACTTGGCCTTTGACCTTCTTAGAAGAGGATAAAGTTCACTTTAGTTGTCAGTCTTTGGGGTCGCAAATTGTTGTATGAGCTTTTCATCTTACACTTATCATGCTTTCCTTTCAAAGTTTTTTTCCTAACAACCTGTGTTGCCAATTGAACAATGCTTCTCTCGGGGACAAGTTTTTAGCCCTAGGACTAAAATGAAGACTTTCCTTGTATGAATCCAAATGACAAAATGAAGTGGTTCTTGGCTGTGGATAAGTGAAGCAACCCCTAGCATTACCGCAGTCCGGGGACATGCCTGTCAATCTGTAGATGCTTGTGAGCCTGTTGGTTGTTGAGAGTCATATGTAGGTGGGCTGTGGTCTTGGAGTACAAATAACTGTGGATATGTGTATTCTTTGATCCTTCCCAAACGCTGGATCATATGATTCACAAAATGCATCAACTCTCTTGCCTCTTGTCACTGACTGCTTTGTGTCGGATTTAACCATCACAAGTATGATGTGGCTGAACTAAACTGATGATAAACGTGAATGGGGCTCTTATTGTATTCCACCGAGCAGGGGAAATTACATTTCAAGGGAAGAAACTGATGTCCTTTGGCATGAGGATCCAGAACATAATATTGTAATCTGCTCTAAAGCAAAGAGAGTATAAGGGAAGAATATCACGTTAGCATATGGTTTCTTCCCGTTTTCCACGTTGACAGACTTTTGTTGCATACTAACACTTTTATCCTCTACCTTAAAATCTGGAAGAAGAAATAACATTTTCTAATGTGTCAGGCTTCTTCCTTTCACTAACATTTTAGTACTGGTTCCTAAATATAATGATTTTTTTAATTCATTTTAAAATTATTTACATGAGGTTTTTTGTTTGTTCATTTTGTTTTTAGGTGTTTTGGATATCCTCAATATTTGCCCCCTGTTTTCTAGCCAAAACCTGATTCATGAAATGGACTAAAGCTATCATCTGCTTCTTTGTCTGTGAATTTGAGACACGATTGGAATGGTCGTAAGTGCATACAACTAGATTCTCACTGCAGCTATGAGTTCAGACGAGAAGTGCATATCCCCTGCTCATAAAATATCTACTCCAACCCATAGAAGTGCCTCCTCTTCAACGTCCTCCCAAAGGGACAGTAGACAGGTAAGAGAAGGGCATTGTCATTTTATGCTAATTCAGTGCCTGTAAGATATGATGGGATTGCTAATTCATTCTGATGTTTTTGTTGTGAAGATTTTTGTTCCACAGGGAAACTTGCTGTTTTCCATAGATTACCTGACAATGTCATGAACACCCTGCTCTTGAGTTGCTGTGATTTAGAATAATCCTTTTTTAGGATACACACCACAGGAATGGTGGCCAAGCGAAGCCCGCAGTGTCCTCCTCATGTCTGTCCCTGGAGGCAGGATGCAGCTTCTGGGATGTGAATTTTCTGCTCTCTCTCTTCATTCATGGAGGCGGTAAAGTCTTCTTCCTATAAGTCTCTCACTGGTCTGCCAAATGCTAACTTCTGTTTGGAGCTCCATGGAATCTGGTAACAGATTCAGGAATGAGGTTACAAATACAGTTGTGGAATCAGGGGATTGAAGGAAGTGAGAATTCAGACAATATTTAAAGTCAATAGAGAAAGTAAATTATTTATGCTTAATTAGCCCATTGAGCCAATTATATAAATTATTCCTGTTTATGGAGTTGCTTCAATACGACTTCAGGGGCTGTTCTGCAGGCAAGGCTGTGTGGGGATTCGTCCTGCGAATTCTCTTCCCTCTCAGAACAGGTGGTTGGTTTGCCCAGCACTTGTCTGAATATTTATCATTTGCCATTATAATAATATCTTGTGATGGAATTTCTTGTTGTGTAACTAGAAATTCATAATAAGCAGGTGGTGGTAACTTTTAATAAAAACTTTCCTTTATGGGGGACAGTTACTGAACATTCTTGCAGAAATCCCCCCTCCTCTCATTTTCTATGTTCAAAGTATGTGCCTGGTTTCTAGAAGTACAAACATCAGTTATTCAATCGCCCATGTACAGAACTGGGTCTTGAGAAAACCAGTTCCAAGCAAGAATTCGTTCTTCCAGATGTTGGGAATGCACTTCTCGGGGTGGTCCTTAGGGAACCCTCAGTCTACAAACCCTCTCAGAACTCCTTTCCCTATTTCTAGCAAGAGATTCCAGAGGAATCTGTAAGAATCAGAGTTTCCTTGTGTATGTATCTTGCACAGATTCTAAAGCAGAAATTTCTCTCTTGGGGAATTTTTTTGCATTGGTGTTTTTTGTTATGGAATGCGAGAAGACATCTACATTCTGTTCCTTAAAAGCAGTTATACCATTAACTAAATATGTGATTACACACAGTTATAATGTTTATTGCATTACATTTTTAGAGTTAAAAAAAAGTAAAAGCACCGTGAATGAAACACATTTACATTAAATTCCTGCTGCAGACTGAGAGGCTTTCTCATCTTGCGTTTTCAGTCTACCCTTCACCTGCCTCCCTGTCCTTTCTTGTTATGGCTTCTCCGTTTTCCCCTTGCCCTGGGCATTTAAACTGAGAGACATTTTAAGCAGCGTGGCTTTCTGGCTGCTGAGGGAAAGAAGGGATTGACCCCGCTCACCCTGGAGAATTGTGGCAAACGGAAAAGACTGATGACTGCTGCAGAAACATCTGTCAGGCATTATTGGTCTGCCTGTTGCACCTGAGGTCCTGGGTGGGCGTGCAGGACAACAGCGGGGAACTGAGACCCCGGTCTGCCGGAGGAAGTCTGAAGGTGGAGTGTGTGACTCCTGGCTGGCTTGAGAATGGAAGGTTCTATGAAAGGAATAAAGGAGCATGTCCGTAAATTGATAATGTATTCTAGAAAAGTAAGAGACGATGTTCAAATGGTTATTATTCTTTAAGGAGTTTACTTTCATTCTTACTTATCTCAGCAGGTGGAAACTCTTCCCAAATATTTTCTCCTCTGTTTTCTTCCTGCCTCCTGTTTTATGTCTGTTCATCTCCCTCAAGGGAGAGAATAAAGAACAAATTACAGTTCTTTTTTTCTCTCCTTGTCTCATCATTTCTTAAAATCCAGTCTTAAGGAAATCAGAAGTTTTGAGTGATCCATGACATAATATGATGTAGTGTTTTTTTATATACATCTATTTTTGTGTGATGACTATTTTCATAGTTAAAGGACATAAAGTGATAAATTAGTCTTCACCAAATGTTACCATTCTCTGATTTGACTGACATCTATGTAGACAGTCCCAAATTGTGAATCCAACCCTATTTCTCTCCTAAATTGATCTTACAGGTAAAGGATCTCGCACACAGCTGAGAATACAGTGGTACCTTACTGCACATTATTTGCCCGTCCTTCCCGCGTTCTAGTCCTAGATCACTAGTTACTTAAATGGGCATTTCTACCATGGTCAGCTTAAGTAGTGTGTATAAACCAGTGTGCTATTAGGATGATCAGTCTCTCTTAGAACCAGGGTCAAAGCCATTCCTTTCTTCTTTGCCTCTCCCACAGTCAGTAGGTTGACAAGTCCTATTGATTATTTCTTCCTTCATAATATCATAATTTCTTCCTAGTCTCACTGTCCGCCCCCTAATCCAGACTCTCATCACCTCACCCCTGGGATCCTGCTGAGTGCTCACTGGCTCCTTATGGCTTCATGAGATCAGGGTTCCTTAATCTGGCAGATTCATGCTCACAACCCTTCAAGGACTCTTGGTTACCTAAACGATTAAGGCTGGATTTCCTTAGTTAGTGTCCAGAGACCATCATGATCAGATCCAGCCTCAGTGTCCCACTTTATCTCCCAACCTGTGCAGTCTTATCTGCTCTTGGTTCCTAAAACTGCCTTGTCTCCACCTCTGCCCTTGTCTTTCCTGCAGGGAACTCCCACCACCCTCCTCTCAACCCAATAACCTCTCTATGCTTCAAGGACCCGCTCTTATGACACTTTCACTGGCCACTCAAACCCACGTTGACCTTTCCCTTCTCAAACTGTATAGAAATTTCTGACAGTATTTCACATTTTTCTGTTCTTTATCTTTTTATATACTGACCTTCTCTTCATTTGTATTGTGAGATCTTTCAAACTACACACTCTAATTCTTCAGAGACAAGCCTTGCAGCTCAAATAACTTAATGTATCCTAGAGGATATTTTTAAAGACCTACAACAATATTTGTCTTGTCTTTTTATTGCAGATCTTCCATTCCAGACTTGTTTGTCCTCTCCCATCTTCCTTCCTCATAGATAAGTAAAACAAAGAACATCTGCCAAGGGCCTAGTAGTAATTGGCCGCTCTTCCTGCCACTAAATTATGTAGCCCAACAGGTGAAAGAGGGAGAGGAGTTGGGAAACGAAGTGATTCAGTGCCCTTGTGATTTCACTAAGTGTTTCTTCACCAATGAGAGGGTCAAGGCCCCACTTAGCATTTAACAAGTTGGAAGACTTCAGTAATTGCTCCATTTATAGTTTGAGTCTGATACTAGATGTTAGAACAGCTAACAAAATTGGCTCTGCCTCTGTGTGTGTGTGTGATCACTCTGACTCTTAAGCTGCGAGAAATACACTCCCAAAATTTTTCAAAGAGGAAATGAAGGGGTTGATTAGACATCTAGGACTTTTACATAAACCAGCATTTCCCAAAGAATGTGGCTGGCAATGCTTGTCCCTTGAGATACTACATGAAAAGAGGGTTCTCCTGTCAAGTAAATTAGAGAAATACTAAACGCAATCTCTTTTTGCAATTTATAAATTAAGGACACTGATAAGTCCTGCAGTCAGAACTTGATTTAACTAAACACTTCTTGAGTTTGATAGATTGTGGAACTTTTTTTATTTCCCTAAGGTTTGGTTGTCGAAAATCCAGATTTTTCTTTCTCTTAAGAAATAAGAAGATCTAGGAACTCTGGGCCCAGTTCCCAAATGGCAGCACTGGGCTCAGGAATGGCTTTCCCTTTAGATGGGGCATATACTCTCTCAGCCACAGTCTCCACCTCTCCTTATTGTCTTTCAATACTTTTTTATGTTTCCTGCTTGGCCCCTGAAAGCATTTGAATTTATGAACCCTGATCTGAGATGTCAGTAAGTTAGCCACAGTAATATTTAAGTGACCAAAGATGATCTCCACTTGGGTGTTAGGAAGGCATCTCAAATTTAACATGTCCCCAAACTGAAGTTTACTCTCAAGTCTGCCCCTTCCCAATCCTCCTTATCTCAGTAAACAGCAGCTCTGCCCTTTCATTCAGAAAGGCCAGAAACCTTACCAAGGGCCATCCTTGACTCATCTGTTTTCCTCACACCTCACCTCTAGACCCTCAGCAAGTCCTGCTGGTTCTACCTTCAGGATGTACCTAGAATCTGATCACTGCTTACCACCTCTTCCCCTCCCCCCAATCTGAGCCACCATCATTTCTCACCCAAACTATGGCCATAGTCTTCTCACTGATCTCCCTGCTTCTACCTTTGACCAACATACAGGTCATTTTTGATTAAGTAGTCAGAGCGATCCCTTTAAAACCTAAGTCAGATCAAGCCTCTTACCGGCTCCAAGGTCTCCAGTGGTTTCCTGTCTCTCTCCAAATAGTATCTGAATTGCTGACCGTTGTCTACAAGGTCATTCATAATCTAGACCCACATGTATCTCTCTGGTCCTGCCTCCTAGCACATTCCGCTTCACTTAGTTCTCCCAGCATTTTCCTTAGATGTGTCAAACATGCTCCCACCTCAGGGTTTTTGCAATTTTGGCCCCTCAGCCTAGCTTGCTTTTTTTCCAAGTATCCCCAGATGTGCTCACACACTTGACTCATTCTCCAAATGTACCCTTTGTAGCCTTCCTCTGCCTTCCCCTGTATATTCTCATCACTCACTGCCCACTTACTTGCTTTCATTTGTCTTTGGAGAATGAACCACTCCCTGACATGTTACATATTTATCTGTTTATATTTGTATCCCCTTCCTGTATTCCTGAACACTGAAATGTAAGCTCCCTGAACACAGGGGTTTTATTTTGTTTAATAACGTATCCTTAGTCCCTCCTGCATCTCCTCGCCTATGGTATGGCTCCAAATGTATTTGAATGGACAAATGAATGAGGAGTCAACATAGGAAGATTGCAAACCAGGTTCTAGAGGCCTTAATA